CTCTTGCTCTCTGTAAATAAAGCAAAGCCACTTCCTCGTCCGACATTAAACAGCCCCACAGAGGAGGGAGGGGCGGGGAGGCTCTGCCGTGCAGCGCAGCTGTCCTGCGTCTGACCTCAAAGTGCACAAGCTTCAAACTTCAGCGTTGGCTGTGATTTTGAAGCTGAAATCGCGTTCGGTGTGAACGCACCATAAGTGTCGCCACCAGAACCACAAAAACCTGTGACACCAGCCCTGGAATTGGCATGGGGCTGTGCACATTTCCACGTTGAGTTTTGATGCATCTGGAGTTTTGCGTGGAAAATGGCGTACGCAAGGTTTTTGTGTGTACGCACCGTTGATACATGAGGCCCCTGGTTCGTATTTCTGATCACATGTGCATGACCCAAGCCTGCCTCATGGAAAACCCTCAATCCCTCAGCCCACGCCGAAGTCCTAGACCCGGAAGTAACAAGTACTGGATTCACAATAGACTCTCTAAGTCTTTTAAGAATTCTCCGGATCCCCGTGACGTGCTGTTCTCGGTCCAGCTGCTCATTTCTTAATAAAATCCTTAAATCTTCTTTGTTGTCCGACATCTCAGTGAAACTCACAAAACCTATCATTACAGTGAATGATGGGTGAGTACATGGAGCGAGCAGAGCTCTGTAGTTCATGATTTTAGAACATTAATCAGCAAATATTTATTTGCCCCATCCATCCATGAATGAATGGATGGATGTTGATGCTGAGTCAGCATTATCTATTGTTGAGCCATAAGCTAATGATGTTTTAGCCATTTTCACCAGTGTTCTGCTTTAGCTGGAGGTCATAAAGCGGTTAGTGACAAAAACTCTGTTTATTGTTTTATTACATCTTTACAGTTTTTTCATTTAACTTGTTAGTATTACAGTAAGCGTATGTACAAAAGAAGCTTCCAGTAGATTTGTTTTATTTCATCTACAGCGTAGACATCCTTAATGTTGAGCAATATTTTCATAAGTTGGCAGAAGTTGTCTAAAACGTCATAGTGTGACAGAGCCTGTAAACTGGGGAGACCAAACAGGCACTCTGTAGGCACGTCCGTCACTGGTGGGGAAACTCCTTTGAACTGGACTCATCAGAATATATCCACCTAAAACAAAAACAGCTCAGTTTTGAAGATCTAGATCTTGCAAGACAGCAAAGACATTTTGGACAAAAGGCATGTCTGCTTCAAAAGGTGTGTCAAAAAATCCATCAGTGGACCAAACCTCATTAAACTGGCAGGAAGGAAGCTCATCAATGAATCCACTGCAGCTGCTGATGGTGTCCATCTACAGGACCAATTTAAATTTCTTGGCGTTTTGTTTGATGAAAGGATCACATGGAACATACACATTCAGAAAATTTTAGACAAATCCAAGAAGGTATAAAATATAATGAGGTGTTAAAATGGAAGTGACTGGGGGGCAGATATGACAGCACTTAAAATGCCTGTGACATGAAATTTTTCAAATAAATATAAAGGCATTATTAGAAAGATAACATCAATAACATATTGCAAAAATAAATTCCCGCTGCTGAGACGAACAGTTTTTGAGATATTTGCATTTGAAGTACCAGGAAGTGATGTCAAAGGGGAATGTCTGCATGGATTAGAGCACTGATAAAATGGTTAGGGACACAGACTGTAGAGAAGAAGCTGATGTTTCTTTAGATTATTTTGAGTCTCTATCAAAGAGAGATGAAGATGAGAATCAGGGTTCAAATATTATTATTTCAATAAACAGACTAGAGAGTTCCCTTACTTAAAAAGTTCCCCTTTGATGTCACTTCCTGTTTCACTTTGGCTGATCCAAATTCAAAAGAAATTATGCCATTTATGTGTTCAAATGGGTAAAAATCAAGTTTTATGTAAGGTAAATAAAAATGAGTTTTCTTTGACTTTTTGTCTTTCGATGGATATGCATGTCACAGACACTTTGCTATATATACAGGGTTAATTAGATCAGTAATAGACTATAGAAGCATTGTTTATAATTCAGCAGCAGATACAACTTCTCAAAAGTTAAATCATATTCAGTATCAAGCACTGAGTTGTGTACAGGTACAATTAGATCTACCCCAACTCGTTATTGGTAGAAATAAGAGAAATGGCGCTCAAAATTAGAAGAGAACAATTTACACTAAATTACTGGGCTAAATTAAGAGGCCATAGACAGGATCACCCAACCCAAGAAACAGTAAAACCTTGTTGGTAAAAATTTTTATATATTTTAAAGTGTTTGTTAGATTGTGAATCATAAAACAATAGAAATCAAAATAGAAAAGTCAAACAGTTCCATTACCAGTAATGCAGCCTTGGATACTTCCAGTTGTCATGGTAGATTTTACCTTGTTGAACAGAGAAATGAGGATGAAAAATAAATTTTAAACTCACATATGAATTATGTAAATAAATATTACTGTTATGTTCAAATTTACATCAAATATTTTTAAAATATATTAACCAGTGTTGGATAGCTTTCATTGTACCAAAATTTAATGTCAAAGTCAGGAAAGAATAAATGATGAACTTTCAGTTTACATAGAGGAAATGCTTGCAATATTATTAGCCATTCAGTGGGTTGAAGAAATAAAACCATTAAGATCAGGGATTTTGTTCAGATTCTAGTTCAATCATTAGTCAGTTTACAAGGCAACCATTCAGAAAGCAGGCCAGATATTTTAATAGAAATTCAACAAACATTATACAGAATAAATATGATGGGATTAATGGTTAACTTTTTATGGATACCGGCTCATCAAAGTGTTAGAGGGAACAAAATGGTAAATAGGACAACAAAGAAGGCTGTTAGAAAGGCATCAGTGGATTTAGTTGTTAATTTTATTAAAACAGAAATAAAAAATTGGAAATGAATGATAAATGGCAATAGCAATGGGAGAAAGAAAAGAAAGGATGTTGGTTCAATAAAATCCAAAAGAAGACTGGACAAATGAGAAGTACAGGGAGGACGAGGAGAGACGAGACAATTATTTCTCTTCTCAGATTTGGACACACTGGGCTAAACAGCACTCTTTATTTTAGGGAAACATTGTAGTGGTAAGTATGAGTACTATGTTACACTGTCAAAATTATGAGCAAAAAAGACAACAGTTGATTCAAAGTTTAAAATTAATCTAAATTAAGTTGAATTATTTAGAAATAACTCAAAGTAACATTTATCAGATAATGTTTACATTAACACAGGCAGAGTTTTATTCTTGAGTGACATTCTGGTCCACACTCTATACCAGTCAGTGGTGGTAATGCACCAATTTTGTTGTTTGCCAACCACCAAAAAATATCAATGAATAAGAAGAGGTACACTGAAGCCCCATCACTCAGAGATTTGAATAGCAAGTGTAGTTTTTGATGAGTATTTTTTTGACTATAAATGAACAGGGAATACAAGTAAACCTTGTCTAAAGTTTTATTTTATTTTATTTTTGCTGTTATAGCTACAGCACTGCTATTCAATTCAGTTTATTTATGGTATGTAGTGCCAAGTCACAACATACACTCACCGGCCACTTTATTAGGTACACCTGTCCAACTGCTCGTTAACACTTAATTTCTAATCAGCCAATCACATGGC